AAAAACACCTAGAACTAGAATGTAAAAAAAAAAAAAAAAAAAAATATATATATATATATATTTATATATATATATATATATATATATATATATATGTGTATATATATATATATATATATGTAGCACTGTCAATCAGGCTCGTGTACACACTGCTCACACCCTTCCCCATGCCTTGCTCTCTGCTATGCACATCAGAAAATAAATCAAGAAAAGTGATCAAATATCCAGACAGGTTTACGTTAGGAAATGTTGTTTCGCTCACGTTCACACTTCATTCAAACATTTTGAGGCTTGTTTTATTTAATTTTGAATCTATAAAAGATTGTGCCGTAAATTTCAGAAGCGTTTTTGTCGTGTCACCATTTAACAATGAGCCTCACAGCCCCCCTTATTAAATATAACATTCATACCCTTGATAATTTCATGCAAATTTCCCCACTGGCGCTTTACCATTGATCTTAGAGAAGCATAGCAATGTAATTTGACATAATGCTGCAAGCTAAAATCAATATTTAGACATGCTGGCAGAGTCCTTGTCCAGGCTGAATCATATTTAACTGTGAATTAATCTGCCTAGTTTACTCACCCTGTTTGCGGTTTCGCAGCATCTGGAACATTCCTTGGGAAATAATTATGTCAAAAGCATACAACAGAAAATGTTTCAACATCACAGCGGAAACCTTCAAAGTGAGATCAAGTGTCAAAACATTCAAATAATTTACAAACTACTAAAGAAAATACTCAAAATCTTCTATTTGTTGGTTCTTCCCTCCAGTTTTTGAGAAGTTATGAACTGTGGAGGTTTTCGAATACTAAAAGAAATGGGTTTTTACTGATTAAATAATATTTTAAACAATTAAAATACATATTTTAATATATAACTCTTAATAGCAGCCTTGAACAGTGTCTTCCTGTTTAGAAAGAAGTTAAATTTGCAAAAATAGGTCTCAATTTATTTTCTGTGTTAATAGAAGTTTACTTTCTAAAAATATACAAAAGAAAAATCAACAGGACTTTCAAGTGGAACTTAAACACTAGACAAATTAAAATATATGTCTGATTTTTTTTTCATTCATTTACACTTGTACTCTAAAAAATCTGATCAAACACATTCATGAATAATTACCAACAGTTGATTTTGATTATCTATCAACTGTGTAAAAACTTTTGTTCTTCTGTACAAAATTTCATCTTTTTTTTTTTTTTTTTTTTTTGCATGCTTTCACCAATCCTAACTGTGAAGATTCACGGCTTCCTGTTGCGGCACTTTTTACTTGTGCAAATATGGACTTTGTGCATGTTAGGCAGAGCAAAACTGGGTCAAAAGACCTTTTGAGCTGCTTTATCCCAACATTCAAAGAAACAAACAAATGGAGGACATGCAACAGATCTCAGCTCACCTTTTCTACCCGCGTTCGGGGGCCCAGGCGGTCGGTCGGTTACTGACCCTGCGACATTTGGAGGGAGGGGGTGGAGACACAACAGAGAGTGAGCAACGCTTCAGATGGTGGAAACAGACAGTTCTTCTGAGGACCTTCACTTTAAAATATTTCAATTGGATTTCGTTATTCTTCTGATTGTCTCTAAGCTTGTCGGTCGACACAGGACGAAGAAACACGACACCAGCTGCGCTTCCATTACAAACTGTCGATATTCTGCTGACGTCCGAAGAAAACGCAACTTCATTAACTGCGGTGTTTCCATTCAGTAAGAATCGCAATTAAAGTCATGTGTGAATACGTTTGTTCGACTCGATAAGTCATCCTCCAACTACTTCCTGTCTTCTTTGGCAACATTCGGTTGTCGATCGTGTGACTGGCGTGATGCGAAAAGTGTTTCCATTGCAGTTTTGCGAAATAAACCAATTTTGATACAGCCATTTTAGCACTAAAACAAGGTTTTTTTGTTACATTTTTGCCACTAAGCAAAATTACTTTCGAAATGCCAGATTGCGCGATGACATGGTCAGTGGAAACGCAGCTAGTCTTCAACATCTTGCTGCAGAAGGAACCCTATGTTAGTACTTGATTGTATCCGATTGGAGACGTTGCACCCGTTTCATCAGCCTCACACCAACAGAGACCAATTTTCTGGATAATTACTGGCAAAAATGTTAAAAATGTATTTCAATTTCACTGTATTGGTCCGGTACATGCAGGTAGTCAGTTTCATGCATGGATGCTCTCGGAGAAAATGCATCAAATGATCCAACCAATCACAACAGAAGGTCAAAGGGCAGAATTTTGAGTGAAAGCAACTGGAAGAAAAACTTACTAACTGAGAATCCACTCCTTCCAGCATCAGTTCCCATATTTTCACTGAAGTTTCCTGCAAACGTATGTGAGATGATTTACTCGGGTGATCGAGTCAAGTTCGAGTCCAGCAGGTCTAGTTATATCGAGAAGGGAAAAACAAAAACAAAGCAAAACAAAAAAAAAAGACGAGGGCGTCGTGTTTCGGATGCATCGGCTGAGCAGGATCAGGTTTGCTACGCCCAGATTCTGCTTCCACCATCATACATACCTTTGCAAGAAACCATGAAGATATCGGACCTCATGCCGGGCAGAAAGGAGGCAGGTGATGATGACTGAGTTTTAGAGTTATTCAAGACGGACATTGAGATCATGTGTCCAGTTGAAGAGCAGAGAAATTTGGGTTTTCAGTCTTTCCCCCCCCCCCCCAATGATTTCAACCACTTTTACAAAAAAGAAACCATTTATGTCAACAAAGGCTTGTAGATTTGGACACAGTACCTGGTAAAAAAAAAAAATCACTTTTCACAGTGTCTTTGTGTTTCAGGGTAGGATCCTACCCTGAAACACAAAGACACTGTGAAAAGTGATTCTGGGTTATTTTAGGGTAGGCTAAAACAGGTTTACCCTAAAACACAAACCCTAACCCTTGTATTCAGCTCTCCTGAGTCAGTGCTCAGAAGAACCACCATCATCAGCGACCGCAGCTGGAAGTATTTTTTGCGAACGTCTCTGCCAGTTTTTCCAAACGTAAAGACTTCCATTCTCGAATGGGAATGGAAATAAATGTTAAGATCCAAGTCTTAAAACGAGTTATCAGTTGGATGTAGATCTGGACTTTGACTGGATCGTAAACCGTTCCGTTGTAGTTCCGGCTGTATCTTGAAGGCCATTGACAACGTAAGATGGTAAACATTTTGCCAAACAGGATTTCTTAAAGCATTTCCTTGTGTTTCCGGCTTCCTCGTTCTTGTTGAAATAAGAAATTATTTATTTCACAGTATGATGTTACCAATGTGCCGAATAAAATGTTAAAAACTCTGGATATCGTTTCGTAGTTCTGTTTTAAATTTCTCCACAACTTGATGCTTGACCGATCTGCTGCGTTTCTTGGTCTTCAAGATGAATTTTGTTCTTTAGCACACGTCTGAAACATTTACAAAAAAAAGCTTGTATGCATCCTGAGACCATATTACGCACAGAAGGACTCGTTTGTTTTTTTTTTTGTTTTTTTTTGTTTTTTAATTTGGTACCTTATGAAGTCAATTAGTTGCCCTGGGTCTTTTTTTAGGAGTATCAGGTTAGACGGGGCTGATGAATGCCAGATGTCTCAGAATTTTATGAGTAAAAACTTTTAGTTTTTATTTCTATCACTTTCATTTGACTCCACTTTGTGTAATCCAAATGAA